TAACGAAGTTGAGATCCACTGATCGCCAGCATCAAGGCCAGTCACGTTCCCTTTTACAGCACTTCCTAAATGTCAACTGCAGACAGAATATAGCAGGCAGCAGGGAAGTGACAGATATAGGCATGTCTGAGTATATCGGTTTAAACGGTTTCAAAAAGCACTATGTTGCAGATGCACTTCTGGCCAGAATCTATATGGCAACGCCAAAAGCAGCGATGCAGAGATGGGAAAGGCAGCTGCAAAGCCAAATTACTGCTTCTTGGGTTGAATACCAAACAGCTGCCCTCTGCCATGGCTGGGCACACAGTGCTCCAGCTCTGGGAGCTTCAATCAGCACAGGAAAATTGTGGAACTGGGGAGTTGTCATAAGCACAGTGCAAGAGACCTGCCCATTTTGACAGAGGTACGCTTGCTTCCAGGAGCCATTTTTGCCACCATGTTCCCACACAGTCACAAGCTCTGGTTGATAGATTGTCACCTAAACAAGTTGACATAACCAGCACAAGCACTGCTGTCCAACGTGTAGTAACAAAAGCAGACACACCCCAGCATCACACTCCAACTCCATAGGTAAACACTAGGATCCTACCCCACAGCCTAACTAGCACCTTGTGACTACACTAGTCTCACCAGCTGCATACAATACTGTTGCTCAGTAAAGTGAAGCTAACCCCTCCCACCCCAAACCATCACAATTCAATGCCTACTTCTAATCTCATCTAGATATGTCCACATACACAATAAAGGAGGGACACTATATGAACACCCAGTAATAAGAACCTGAATTTTCTGTTCTTCTCCAAAAGCTATGACAACAGCATCTTCAAAAACCCAGTCCTCAGCTATGATCCGTTCTTCAAACACAACTCAGCAGCTTGCAAGCGATTTGCAACCCGAGTGTCTGAACCTTTTTGGCTCCACCCACTTCTCCTTTCTTCAGTTTTACATGTTATTGAGGTACAGAACCAGCTTCCTGGTTCAAGTCTCAGAAGCCAAATGCACTTCATTCCCATCTGCATGTGGCTGGGAACTACTAAGGTAACCATATCACAGTTCACATCTGGCAGACCCACTTGATTCAGCCGTGCATCAAGACAGCCAGCACTGGACAAAGCCAGGCTTCTTGTTTAAACCCGTTCTCCATGCATTAACAACACCTACAAACAAATCAGCCACTCTTGATCTTCTCCAGACCCACCACACACTGTATTTACACCAGCTGCGAACAAGCCTGTTCAAACATAAGGCAGAGCCGAACCGTTGCCAGACTGAGTAAATGAACCCGAGGGTATTTCTTCGCTACAGGAGGAGATGGCTTGCATAAAGGAGTTGTTTGTCTGATCAGTCCCTGACAACTCTTTTTGATAGAACCCTTTTGGCGTGTCCTTGCGATCTTGATTGTGTCAATGGATTCTGATGCTCCCAAAAAGACTTCTCCCACAGGCAGGGCCTCACCTATTTCATAGCCAAAGAATTCATCCCTCGAAGCAAAATTGTGCTTCAGAAATGAAGGGGCTTTAAAAAAAGTATATATTTCTAGCCCTTAGAGATGTAAAGAAAACCTTTACAACACACATGGACTGAGGCTGCATACAGTGCGAACAAGCAGTCTCAGATGAGAGCTGCCCTATTCATTTCAACAAGGCGTTGACTCTGAAACCCAAGGATGACAGCAACACTGTCAACCCTGGTGGCTCTCTCTCATCATTTCAACAGAAACTTCCAGCTAAGATTTTTACTCCACAGTCACAAAATTATAATTCCACAGGGGCTAATGCATCAAGGTTATTTTCGTACTTAAGAAAAACCTCTTTCAGAATACATCTGAAACTGCTGAAGAAGTCTCACTCGACTCCCCCAGAGAGTAGGGACTTTGGGGTAAAATTTAGATCCAGCTTCTCATGCGGCACATGGCATCTTGCCTATACACCAGCCCGGCAGAGAAAAGCAGAAACCCTTGGGAAATTACTAGCTGTAAGGCTTGTGGCTTCTTACCAAATCAGCTGCATCCAAGACATGGTTCCTGGTGCTGCGGGCAACCAGTACAACCATGCCCAGCAAGACACTCAGGGTAGTTCAGCATGGGCGGCCTGCCAGATTCCACCTGACTTTGTTTCAATGCTTCTGTATGAAAGACACAGCCCTCCCTATGCAGCCTGCTGCCCACCTGGGGACATGCCCTGCAACCAAGACTGTGGAATAAGCAAGCAAAGAGCCTAGCTTACAGGGAATCCCTCCAACATATCATGCTGTGCCACATTCCACCTGGAACAGCAGTCTGGAAGTTGTGTGGTACATTTAAATAGGTAGCCAGACAACAGACACAAGTTTGGTTTGGATAGGGATAATCTTGCCTCAGGAAGAGGGTTGGACTAGATGACCTCTGGAGGTCCCTTCCAGCACTTCTCTATGATTCTAGATTCTGTGATTAATCAAACTCCTCACCATATGCCTCGCTCACATCTCAGTCCCTGAACTTAAGGAGCCCTCAGGACATGAGCTAGGTGGCCAGCCACGGGCTAGTCTCCAAAGAAAATGGCATGCCTCACATAAAGCATCAGCCTTGCACCAGCTTCTTGTATGTACATGTCACCTTAAAAGCTGCACAGATTTACTGTCCAACTGTAAAATAGAGAGGCACTTTCCTATTGCTATTTGTTCAATGCTGGCCAACTGTACAAAATTTCATCTGGCCTTTAACATTTGCAAGTGGCCTTGTTCACACACAGTTGCAATGTGAGAAGGACCAGTCTAACCCATCTGTTACAAGTACCTTACATTAATCCATCTCACCTACCAACCCTGCTGCAGTACCATCACCCCGAGTCCACAAACACAAGCAACAGCTCATCTGTCAAGGAAATAAAACCAATTTAGATCACAGCCCACTTGCTGTACAGTAGCCAAACTGGGCACCCACCTTTCTAGCACTTAACCCAACCCATGCCATCATGTACCAGCAACAAAGCCAGTGACACAGAGTAAGATCAAAATGAACTGACAAGAATTTCTCACACAATCCCAGATGTTTGTCCAAGAGCGAGGAGGTCCCAGCTGCTATTTTCTAACCGTTGTTGGCCCTACAGGATGCAGCCTCAGCTTCTAGCAGAAGTTTCATCATAACATGCCACCAAGAGAATCCCATTACTAGCGTAATGTCCACACACAACTTACAGCCCCCCTTCCTCTTCCTGGATGAGACCGGCAGTGTCAAGCTGTGGAGAGTTAATTATATTTCAGTGTGATATTATGTGTGGGCATGAAAAAAGTCTACTACACATCTACCAGGCCAGAGGTTGACACAAAAAAGTAGCTACCACCCAACAAGTTCCCCTAGCAACTCCTCCAAAGCCACTATGAGGCAGTAACCAAGACTGCCCAGGATCCAGTTATCAGTTTCACCTACAGGGCTCTTAAGTCTCGTTAATACCACTCTACTACTTCTGAAGCAAAACCCTAAGCAAAAAGATCACTGGAGTGTCTTCAGGATCCAGAAGACAACACTGCATTGTATCACCAACCAAGCTAGAGAGTTGATTTTATTTTTTGAATGAGCATTTCAATTCTTCAGGAATAGCTCTCTCAGGCTCTCATTCTCTCTCCAGGAAAGCTTCTGTTTGATACTAAGGAATGCATTTTCCTAAGCTCTCAAAATACATACGTTAAATTAGGAAGGAGAAAGGTTCCTGGCATTCTGCACCCAACAGAATATGCCATCACAGTGGATTTCAGATTTCTTAACTGCTGCTGCAGAATGCATCACCCGCAGCCACATGGCAATCATTTCTAATCCATCCAGCTCATCAAGCATGTGAGGAGAATGTTGCAAGATTTCTGGGTGCCATCAGAGGAGCAGAGGGAGAAAGTTTACAGAGAAACGTATTGACAGCACAAAGAGCAGGAATCAAAGGTGACTGGGAGGTCTCTGCTCAGCTCTTCACAGATGCTCACACATTCTCTGTTCCCTACAGCATATATTGACCCATGCCATAGGAAAGCTGACTCTGGGAGGGGGGTACTAGGTGGCTCCACAGCTCAGGGAGGGGGTGTCACCTGGGGTTTACCCTGCAAATTATCAGCACTGAGGGCTCAAGGGGTGGTGGGATCAGTCAGGAGCTTTATCTTTTGGGCAGGAGTTGGGTTTGGTGGTAGGAATGAACAGGCCTCTGGGTCTCCAACTCCTGTAGCTGACCTTACTGAGGATGCTCGAGGAGCCTGAGGAACAGGGTCCCTGGGTCAGCCTGTGGCCAGAAGACTCCCCCATGAGGGCACCGAGAACAATGGGGATCACTGGAAGTGGAGGGTGCAGGGGGTCTCCCTGTGGGGGTGGCCTCTCACAGGAGGCTACAAGCTGGAAAACCTGGAGACCCCTAAGGCTACAGGGGCCCTGAGGGGACAGGGAGAACGCTAGGGTCGCTGCTGCAGGGGGATGCTGAAGGCACCAGGAAACAGACTATCCCTGGCAGCAACAGGCCAGGGACCAGTCCCAGTGCCTGGAGGTGTGGGGAGCCCCCAGTGCCAGGGGGCAAGCCCTGCCTCCCCTTGCCCCCACAGCATGAAGGTGGGGCACTGCTTTTGAGGAAGATATGGAGGCATTGGATCCCAGGGCTGGGGCAGGGATAGGGAAGGGGGGTAGGGATGGACAGGAGGGGCATCATCCTCAGACTGCCCCCCAAGCACAGGGTGCTCTGGCTCCCAGCCCCTGCAAGGGAGAGGGGGCTTCCAGCCTGGGGGAGGGGCCCGATCCTGGACCAGAGTGATCCTGGGATGAAGGGAAGGAGAAGAGGGCCCTGATCCTGGGGTGGGCAGGAGAACAGGAAGGCCCTGATTTTGGGGTGAGGGGAGGGGAGAAGAGGGAAGGGCCCCGCTCCTGGGATGGAGATGGGATGGCCCTGCTCCCGGGGTGAGGGCCCCGATCCTGGCCCGAGGGGCCGGATCCGGAGGTGGAGGGGAAGGCCCCGGTGCCGGGGAGGCGGGCCGGGCGGGGAGGGGCGGCTCACCGTGTGGTTGGCGCCCCACATGAGGACGCTGAGCAGCGGCTCGGAGGCCCGGAACAGCTTCACCTTTTGGCACACGAAGTGCTTCTTCTTGGTCTTGGTCTTGCTGGCGCTGAGCGCGGCCCCCAGCGCCGCCGCGGCACCGCC